TGGAACGTTTAAAGTTCACTAGTGATTTTCACATATATCACTTCATTTCACTTACATAAAGAATCCTATGATAAGATTAGCCTTTTTAAAAATTTTAGTGATGACAAAGTGGAGGGTACTCATATGAGAGATTCATTTCTTCATTTTTAAATCCAGTTACTATTTTCTTTTAGATCTTATTGGGTGTATAGAAATTTTCTCTGAAAGACCTCCATAAAGATAATTTAGGAAAGAGACAAAATGTTGGCTTTTAATGCTGGCTAAGGATATTTAATAAAAATGCATAGTTACATTTTACAATTTTAGTCTAACCCATTTATGCATGCATTCAAAAGAAACACATTCTCCTAGCAGAAGTACAGATACTCTTCGTTCTTCATACTTTAAAAGTGAAAAATAGATTCTATTATAATGAGAAAACAATGGTATTGAGTTCCTTGTCCTAAGATACAAGATGACCTAGTCAATAACGGCCCTCTGTCTTCTGCTCTACCCCCACCTCCATTCTTTTATTTGTACCTTCTACAAATAAAATCTCTTCCAGGATTCACCATTGCTTTAGTGGTAATTACAGGTTCCCCAAAGATTGTGTAATATATTGCCAGTTGACAAGGCAGAGAACAAGTAAAGGTGTTCATATCTCTTTTTTCAGATTTAAAGAAATGGAGTAAACAAGGGCTATTTAAATGAAACTTTTGGGAACATATCATAGATTTGTTTTTAACTAATTACTTCTTTACATGTTTTTCTTGATGATCCAAGGAGTTATGAAGACATTTTCTTATTTCATAAGATGGTTTAAAATATCAAACAATGTCCATAGGATCATGCTGATCAGTTCTAATCATAAAATAGAGATAAATTTTTTTATAAGAAAAAAAGGTATGATTTTGGAGCCAGTTTAGAGAAGCTATGCTTCAAATGTATTATTTATTTCCATGTCTAAGAATTGGGAATTAACTCTAATCCACGTACGGATGTCTGATTTTGATCCTTGCATTTTGAAAGATTTAACTTGCTTTATCCTCAGAAAGTGTTACACTGACTTGAAAAACAATCAAACACTAGAATAAACTTACAGCTATTTCATTTAAATAAATGCCACCAGTTGGAAATCTTTGCATCTTAACTGCACTTATTTTATTTTCCCAAATGTAAAGGAATGTTTCCGTTATTCAATTTTATTTAATCTAGTGCAAATTTCCCACCACTATAATTATTGCAAGCACATGCTGCATATATCTAAAAAGAACATTTTGTGAAGAGTGCAAACTGGAGTTTTACTGTCAGATTATTTTTTTATACTGTTTCTACTGCCAAATTAAGATAAGCTGTTTGTAGCTGAGTGTCAGGAGTGCAGAGAGCTTGTTGACTTTGTTGCTTACTGCCTAACTCAATCGTGGATCTGACCAGTTCCATGACCTTAGGCAAATTACTTGAATGGCTCTGTGCTTGCATCCTCATATATTTGGAGATAATAATATACTTATCAGGTTGTTAGATGGATTAAGTAATCAATATTACTTAGTAGAGCTCCTAGCACATACTCAATAAATGTTAGGTGTTACTATCTGCCTTAATCAAGAGAGGGTGCAAAGGTGCATAGCTTGTGGCATATATGAAAAGACATTCGATTTAAAAGGAAAACACCAAGATCATAGTGACCTTAGAGTTTTATTTTTCATGTTTCCATTGGGAATAGTATCCTCATATTCATTTGGAGTTGGAGACATTCTTGCATTTCTAGATATTTCCAGTTCTATTTTTTGTTTTGTGTTTTTACAATTGGAGGGCTGCGTTCTCTCAGATCTGTCTCATGGTTTCTTCTAGGTTTTATTAAGTTGAAAGATAAATGTGTAATCTGCGGTGGCAAACTTCACTTCCACATTGTAAAGGTCATCTTCCCAGGAGAGTTGGGTTCTGGAGCTCTCCTGGAGGGAACACTGTGCTGGGTAACTCCAGGGTCTGCTCTATGTCCTCCAGGCAGGTGAGGGCAAAAAAGCACACAGTGCCAATGCTGCTTATGATGCCATCTCTTAAAAGTCATACAGGGACCTGAAGTGGAATGGCTTGGTTCCATGCTTTTCTGATTATGCCAGGATGTATCCTGGTGTATCACAACTAAAAAGAATAAATTTAAAAAATAAAAAAATAAAAATAAAAACAACAAAAACCCCCAAGCTCCCCAAAGGAAACACAGGTAAAGCAGAAGGAAGGAGACTTTTCCCCCAAATTTTAAACTTTGTTTCAGGGGATTTGGTGCTCTTACAAAATGAATGCTGAATGTTGAGTGAGAGAAGTCTATCCCTTTCCTTGATGGTTGAGTGTCTAGCATTTCTCATGTCCCTGAATAATTGATCATTCATGACCATGTCTTAGCAGTTAAGTTGTTAAAGCTAACAGCAGCCCTGTCCCCTCATAAGGTGTCAGGGGTGCTATGCTCAAACTCTGAAGTTCACATGGCATGGCAAAGGCCCAAAGTAGGAGAGTTAAGTTAAACACAGGAGTAAAATTAAATTAAGCATCATTTATTAATTATTTCTATCTTACTATGTTCCAGAAAGATTTAAGAAAGCTAGAATTTCATCTGTAGGGCTGAGAAATATGTTTATAACTAAGTTACAATTACCATATATATAATGATTTCCTAGAATAAGAGGAATTTGATATTATTAGGGTAAAGTAACATCAAGTCTGAATCTCTCTTCATGTTCAGTACTCTATGCCAGGTCTATGAAAAAAGCTATAACATCTCTTAAACACAGATTACAACAATTTTTAGAAGTACTACTGATGGGAAATCATTATGTATTTCAATAAGGGAATTCATATCTAAGTACAAACTTGTTAATTTTTTAAAGTGCTATTACATTCAACTGATATATTTACAAATTTATAAATTCACTTATTTTTAAATGGATCATGAATAATTAGTTTCTAAAAAATACTTTTTTAGGCATACCCAGGGAAGGTTAAAAAATCCAATTAAGTAACTTGAGGTGATTGAATTTCCATGTTCTGAATAATTTTACATGTATATTCAATCCTTCTGTTTAGCGAAAACAATGAGAACACATTGGTAGACATTGGAAGCACCTGTAAGATTTCATAAAATAGATCACTGAACAACAGCATTTCTGATTATGCAGTATGTCTTGCTGAAGGTTTAAAATATGTATCTTAGAAGTTCCCAAATTATGCTAATACTGCTGGCCTGGAGATCACACTTGCTCAGAGACAACTACGGTTAGTATAATTGCCAGGTAATATTCTTGCCCCCTGGGCTGGCTATGGAATACTTACAAATACTAACTGAAATAAAATAAAAGTTCACAAATCATGTAAGCAGCTGGTGCAAATTTATGTTAAAATATCAAAAGAAAATTTTATGAATTCAGTGTATATACATATCAATTATAAAACTGAGTTTTTTCAATGTCTAAATGTTAGAACATTTTCTTCTCACAAGCTTTGTTTCTTATTAGTAATACATCCTTAAAACTCCTTTTATATGCAAAACAGGGGCTGATGACATTTCCTTTGGCAATTTTCTGTGTCTGTCTACTTAGAATATTCTTAAAAGACCAGCCTATTCACTGCCCAAATAAATTTAGTATTGTCTAATTCTCCAAAAAATGAAAAGACATGAATTCAATCTTAATAATAATAACAATTTTCTACATTTTTTCATTACTAGTTAAACATCACCACAATTTTCTCATTTAGCAAATTTGGATGTTTGCTTTGTATACTGACTGTTAAAACAATTTTAGGAAACTGACAAAAGATAAAACTTGGCATTTTTAAAAATTTCTGTAAATAATTGGTTTGTACAGAAAGTTGGTGTCTAATATTTGAGGAATAAATGAAACTAGTTACCATAAGCCAGAGCAATTAATATTTCTCCCCTACAACATGGCCTTCATAGAATCTATGCATATATATGAAAATTTAGAAATGAGTATGGCTTTTTCCCCTGCCTTTATAGAAACATACTTCCTTTTGCTATATAACACCAACAAATATACTTTTATTTTATTTTTAATTTTAACAGCTTGTGAAATAATTGCATCTACTTATAGATTCAAGAAAAAAACAATCATTTTTGTTTTCTTTTCCTGTTTCACTGAGCATTGAGGCTATGTTCTACACTTTCGCACCCCTTTAGAACATTATTGTTTGGAGACTATCTATAACTTAGCTAGAATCTTGATTAACAAGAAACTATAACTCAGAAAAAGCCAAAGTTGCTGTTCCTCAAAACGGTGTTAGATAGACAGCTGGTCTACAGGGTTTGAAGATACCAAAATAAACTAATAATAAGCTAGTAATTTCAACTGTTGTGCCATAAGAGTCGTACTTGAGGGCATATAATACTATAAGCACAACTGCAAAGAAATTTCATTTGTGAAAAAAAAATCTCATGAAGTACCTAACAAGCGGTGTAGCTTAGTAAGACTTTGGACTAGGAGATGGAATTCCTGAGGATGAAACTTAACTCTTCTACTTTCTGGTTGTGTGGACTTGACCAAATTGTTTAACATTCTTTTGTTTGAATTCCTCATATCTTAAATGGAAATAATAATATCTACCTCATATGGTTGTTGGGAGGACCAAATAAATTGTTATATGTAAAATGATAATTGGATGTTATCACATAATAATGGGGGTGTGGAAAATAAAAGCTCACTGGACTAGACAAAGGGAATGAAAGGAAGGGAGGTGAGGATGCAAATAGGAAAGTTAGTAGAATGAATCGGACATAACTTTCCTATGTTCATATATGAATATATGACCAGTGAAACTATATCATGAACAACCACAAGAATGGGACCCAAAGTAGAATAAGTTATACTCCATGTATATATAATATGCTAAAATATAATCTACTATATGCATATCTAAAAAGAACAAGTAAAATAAAATGCTTAACTTAGTGCCTGGCTAGTATTATATATGTATTACTATTATATATGTATCATTTATTATTATTATTCATTTATAAAAATTTTATTATGTATTTATTTAATGTAAATATCACATAATTTAATTAATCATGTACTATTAATTTATTATATATAAGAAAAACCATGAGTATTAGCAATTATTATCATTTCCTCCAGTTTTAGTATTATTTTATGGTCTTTATTTCCCAGCCTTATCCAGTTTCAATACTGCCTAATTCCTACTGTCTCCATTCTTTATATTCCCCAAACTTTAATTCTAAAATTAGAAATTAGCCAAATCTAAATTACTATAATATTATTAACTACTATAATTCTAGGTTGACTTTCTTACGTTTCTTCTCTTTCCCTCCCTCCCTTCTTTCTTTCATTTTTCTCTCTTTTACTGAAACATACAAAAACAAATGTCTCATTTTATTTTCTTTTTTAACAGCATATTTAAACCTCAATACTAAACTTATTGCACATTTAACTCTGTTACTGATTGAAACAGAAGGTAATGAAAGGTTGGGTATCATATTCTTGCCTGAAGTTAAGTGCTTACATAAAAAGAAAAAAAAATGGAGATAAAATATCATTCTATTTTATATAGTAATAATGATCCTAACATCTCATATCTCCTATAATAGATAAGATTTGCAGTTTAACTTTCAGACCTTGAAAGCTTGAATCCTACTGGAATTAAAAATTTGTCTAGTTACAAAAGTTTCATACTGATCATTATGTTGGTTGGGTGCAGTGGGAAAAGGGCCACTGTGATGCACTGCTACTTAGGAATCTTTTTAAATAAATATGGAAGAGAGAAGATGGACACTTCACAGGAAGTGGGTTTTGTGTAATCTTACCAACTGAAGTGACTGACAGAAACCTTAAGAGGTGTTTGTAGGATCCAAATATAGAAAGACCTCATCCAGGATCTAGAATTTTTGTGTTCAACTGGTACTTGTGTTAGAATACATTATTGGCCTCTAGTCTCCACTCTCTCCTGTATTCATGCCTTTTGCCACATAGCTTTGCTTTTTCTCCCACTACAAGTGGAGTGTACTTTGCTATTCCTTTTCTTTGGGCTTGGTTATTTGATGTACTTGGGCCAACGTGTGTGGGTGCAAGTGACAATGTGATATTTCTCAGCCCAGCCTTTTTCATCTTGCTCAACTGTCACTGCCATAAGAAGAGCTTCCTCTAAATAGCTGCTTCTCTGTCAGCCTATATCTGAGAATAAGCACATGTGGAAGAGACCAAAGCTTGACTTGTTGCAAGAAATCTAACACAGTGTGTTAGGGCTTTGTGCATGCTAGGCAAGTGTACTACCACTGAGCTATAGCCTCAGTCCAAGTCTTTATTTTTTTAAGAAAGCTAGACACCCCCTTTCCCCCATAACTCTGGCAGATGATATAATTTTATATATATTGTTGAAGGAATTAGCAAGGTTTTTTTAGTACCAATGGCATTTAAAAATGACAGTTAAAATAAAAATCACATATAATTAATAAAGCAAATTTATATTTGGTGTACTTCAAATTGCACAATTAGAAAGTATATAATGTGTTCTATTAAGCTTGTTGGTTGTGCTTTTAATAATTGAAATGAAGTCAATTAAATTGCATAACTGGAAAATTCAACCAACACTTTTATATAAGTATAAAGTATATTTTCTGGTTGGATTTTAGAATTTATAGAAGCATTGTTAACAACTTAATTATATACAACTTAACTACATTTAAATAATCATAGCAATTTTGTAACACAATCAACAATCAAAGCATGTATTTGTTGAGAAAAAAAACAATGCACATTTTAAGGAACTAAATAATACTTTCAAAAAGATTTGACGAATATGTTCATTATATAAAATTAAATGCTCCGAAGTTTTCCAAATATTAAAAAATTTCCTCCTTCTTTATAAGTACCCTCTATGGTAACACAAGAGATGTAAGCACAGTTATGTAAGAAAATATGTTTTAAAAACTGCATTTATAACTAACTGTTTTAAGCACTTTGTATTGATAAAGCCACAGAATTCTAAGATATCCTTCATTATCTTTTAGAATCTATTACATGAAAATCTTTCACAATTTAAATATTTGTTATGAGAAAGATAATTAAAGGTCCATTTTTGAGAATAATAGAGCTAGACTATATTGAGTGACATAAGATACAATTACATGGGAATGAGGCAAGTAGTCTCACCTGAATAGACTGATTTTAATATAGAAAGATGACTCATAATCTATTTATCCACAATTGAAGACTAACCTTTAAATTGAATTAATGATTACACTTAGATATCAATTTAAAAACATTCATTTAAAATATTCTTAAAATATTTATGCACAAGATCTTCTGATATTTGTAAATCATTAGGGAATTGAGTTATTTTCAACAATTTCTATCTCTGCTGAGTTCAAGAGAATGCCCAGTCTCCATAAATAAAAAGTAAACAGAGGAAATGCATCAGAGAGCTGGAAGATAGTTTCATCATGGTTCTGAAGAAATCTCTTGACTTCTGGGTCATCATGCCTTAAATTGGCAGTGTGGTCTTTGGTTTCCATTTGAAGAAGCTGCTCTAGAACCCAGAACAAGGAGAAAATATTTTCATAGCGTGTCACATCGTAACTGGCTTGTACCTACAAATAAATAACAAAATATATTAAAAAATAGGGATTGATGGGGAAGGAGAAGGGACAGGAAAAAGAGGAAGGGTGGAATAAATGTATGCTATGTACATACATGAATACACCACAGTGAATTCCACATTGATTTATATCTATGAATCACTAATTAAAAAAAATATAAATAGAACAAAGACCAGAAGGAAAATGGGGAGAGAGGAAGGAAAGGAAAAGGAACGTATTGGGGACTGAAGTTGAGAAAATTATATTCTATGCTTATAAGATTAAGTAAAAATGTACCCCAATACTATGTATAATTCACTATTAATAAAAATAAATAAAAGAAAAAGCATTTTAAAGGAAAATAAAATCATTAATTCAAGTCCAGTTGATAGTCTTATTACCTATGTAATTTTCATAATTGGTATTTTGAGATGTTCTGGCTTAATTAAATTTATCGTGGTCCACAAAAAAAATGTGAGTGTAGATTAGCTCATTAAGATGCCAAAAAATATTTTCAGAAAAAGTACAAGTTTCGGATTTATTTAACATTTTCTGTCTTCTTTTCCCTTTGATTGGTGGAGGAGAGGAAAACAAAGAAGAAAATTTCTAATTTTCAAAGACTTTATAATCATAATGAATGACTAATGACTTATTTTTCCCTTGACAATTTATAAAGCTTCAAGTGTTTTTCTTTGAACTGCTATACACATTGAGCATCCCTAAAACCCCAAATCCCTTAATCCAAAATGTTCTAAAATCCAGAACTTTTGAGTGTCCACATAATACCCACAAGTAGAAAATTCCATACCTGACTTTGTTTCTGGTTGTACTCAAAATGTAGGTGCACTACAAATACTGTGTAAAATTACTTTTATAATTGCATAGGGTATATATGAAACACAAATCAATTCTGTGTTTAGACTTGGGTTCCGTCCCCAAGATATCTCATTGAGTATATGCAAATACTTGGAAATCTGAAAACATCTGAAATAGGAAATATTTCTGGTTCCAAGAATTTTGGATAAGGAATACTCAACTTGTAATTAATTACTCAGATTATCTGAGAATACTTGGCATAGAACCTTACACATAACAATATTGAATGCTGAAGCCAATATTTTCTCAAAGATTTCCAATACATGATACTTCTGCCAATGGTAATATGAGGATATTTGGGAGTAGGATTTTAGGGCCATGTTTGGATGAAAAATTCACTTCCAGAGCAGTAGAGTTATGATCATTAAGTGACTAGATGTGGTCTCATGCTAAGTGTATGCAAGCCGCAGACTACCTGTGAGTATGGATACTCCAGATACGTTCTCTGTGGCTACAATGCAATCTCTCACATCTTAGACAAAGTCCCTCCTATAGCAAGAGAGTTTGCACTCTGGGATCCAGAGCCATGGTCTTTGAATGTGCCTATGTTTTAGACATTAGCTCAGATACCATACAGAACTATGCCCTGCACTAACCCTGGAACACTACAACTCTGACCATGACTGTGCTCCCATTCTCAGTTTCCTGTTTCACAAGTATTCATGCCTTGCATACTGTTACCAATGCAGCAGTGGGTGTACCAAGAAGCAGTGCCATCACTGGCTGAGGTATCACAGTAACAGTCCCTCAATATGTCCCTATGTTTCAAGGATCAGGTCTATGGATGCTTTCTACTCATCACTCTTGTGCTGAGAAAACCTTGAGAAAACCTCAGCAGACTTTCCTGGTGGAAGAAAAGAGTTTGGAAGTACCATAGTAGACATCACCACAAAAGATGCCACTCAATAAGGATCTCAGAATATTCATCAAGACTGATCTCATCAGCAGAGCTGCAAGACTACAAAGCTGTGCTGTCACTGGTGTTGGAACAACTGCCCCACCCAGTAAGTATCCTCCTACTCCATGGCACAGAGGGGAAGGCCTTCCCATACCAAAATTGGCCTGTAAAGTTAGAGATGACTGTTCTATCAAATGCACAGATAACAATGTAAGGCAATAAAAAACGTGAAAAATTAAGGAGACATATCCCTAAAAAAAGACGTAATAATTTCCCAGTAGCTTATCCCAAAGAAGTGAAGATTTACAAAATGTGTGATGAAGAATTCAAAATAATTATTTTAAAGAAGCTCAGAGAAATAGTTCAACAAAATCAAGAAACAATGAATGACCAAAATGAAAAATCGAGCAGATAAACTGAAATTGTTTTTAAAAAATAAAGAAAAATTGAAGCTGAAAAATAAAATGAATGAAATAAAAAATGCAGTTGATAGTGTTAATAGAACTCATCAGAAAAAAGAAAAATTTACTGTAAATATAAAAAGAGAATGCAAATAAATGAAGAAGTTGAGTATGATTATGGGATATTATCAACAGAGTAAATCAAGTCAAAGGAGTGAGAAAAGGGGAAGAGAAGGACAAATGAATAGAAAGCTTATGCAAATAATTAATAGCTAAAAATCTCTCCAAATTTAGGTAAGTTTATAAACATCCAGGTGCAGGAAGGACAAGTCTGCATTCTCACTGATTCCAAACAAAAGTGCACCAAGACAAACTTTAATCAAACGGCTAAAAGTAAAGACAAAGAGGATTTTGAAAGCAGCAAGAGAAGCTTATCACATCTATGCAGAACCAATATAAGCCAGGAGTATATTCAAGGTACTAAAGGAAAACAAACAAATTCCAACCAAGAACACTTTATTTGGCAAAGGAAAGAGTTCATCATCATCTGAATTCTCTTACAATCAATGCTAAAGGAAATTCTTTAAGCTAGAAGAAAAGGATGTTATCTAGTAATACGAAAGTATAAAACTCAGTGGTATAAAAGTACACAGTCAAATTCAGAATATTCTAATGCTATAAAGGTGACATGTGAATTGCTTATATATTCAATATAAAGGTTAAAAGAAAAATATTTAAAATAATAATATCTATAATAACTTGTTAATGGATACACAGTATAGAAAATATAAACTATGACACCAAAAATATGAATTGTGGGAATTGGAATAAAATTGCAGAATTTTTATAAGACCAAAGATAAGTTATTTTCAGGTTAAAACAGCTTATTTTATAAGCTATAAGACTGTATGACTTTTTATAACCACCTCATATCTAATCACACAAGAGACAGTAAGAGAGGAAGAAAGGAACAAAGGATCTATAAAACAACCAGATAAGAACAAAATGGAAGCACGAAGTTCTTACTATCAGTAATTATGCTGAATATAAATACATTAAAGTCTCCAATCAAAAGTCAGAGAGACCAAATGAATAAAACAAACAAACAAACGAAGACCAAGTAAATGCTGTCTAGAGGAGACTGACTTTACCTTTAAGTACATATATACACTGAAAGTGAAGGGATGAAAAAGATATAACATGCAAATGGAAACCAAAAGATGGATAGTATGGCTACATAAAAACTCAACCAAAAATATTTTAAATCAAACTTGTAAAATTAGACAAAGAAGGTCATTACATAAAGATAAAGGGTAAGTTATTCAGAACTGTAAGTACATTTGCATCCACCATTGAAGCACCTAAGTATATATATAAAGCAAATTCTAAGAGTTCTAAAGAGATAGACTCGAATATAGTATTAGTAAGAGATATCGATATCCAACTTTAAACAATGGATAAATAATCCAGATTCAAAATAAATATGAAAACACTGGACTTGAACTATACAGTAAATGTACCTAACAGACTGACTTAAAACATTCAATCCAACAGCAACAGAACATTCATTCTTCTGAAGTGAATACAAAGCTTTCTCTAGGAAAGATCATACTTTAGCCTACAAAACAAGTTGTAACAAATTTAAGATTAAAATCATATCAAGTATATTTTCCAACTAGAATCGTAGGAAACTAGAAAATTCATCAATAATGGAAATTAAGCAGGTTCCTTAACTATAAATCTAAAAAGAAGACATTAAAATATATCTTTAGGCAAATAAAATGAAAACACAATAAACCAAAAATGGGATGTATTAAAAGCTCTAAGAGAAAGTATGTAGCAATTAATGTTTATATTAAAAAAGATTTCAAATAAACAACATAACTTCATACCTCAAAGACTCAGAAAAAGAATAAACTAAACCCACAGTAAAAGGAAGGAAAAAACAAGTATCATGAACATAAAAGAAACAAAGACAAAAAACAACAGAAAAGATCAATTAAATTAAGAATTCATATTTTTTAAAAATAAAAACTACAAAACTTTTGGCAGGCTAAGAAAAAAAAATAAAAACTCAAATAAATTTAAAAAAATGAAAGAGGAAGCATTATAACTAATACCACAAAAATACAAAGAATCATAAGAAATTACATGAACATTATACACCAACAAATTTTTTAATCTAGAAGAAACAGATAATCCCCGGACACAAACAACCACTAAGAATGAATTTTTATGAAGAAATAAAAAAATCAGAATAGGCCAATAATAAATAGGGAGACTGAACTAGGTAAGTTTCCCATCAAAAAACATCCCAGAAGCTGATTTCTTCACTGCTGAATTCTACCAAATTAAAGAAAAATGGAATACTTCTACAATGAAAATTATTAAATACTGAAGAAAGAAACTAATTATCTCAGAAGATGGAAAGACCTCCCATGTTCTTAGATAGAATTAAAATTGTCAAAATGGCCATAATACCAAAAGCATTATACAGATTCAATGCAATCACCATCAAAATACCAATGACATTCTTTGCAGGAAAAAAAAAGTTCTAAAATGTATTTGGAAGAGTTATAGACACAGAGTAGCCAAAGCAATCCTCAGCAAGTAGAGTGATGCTGGAGGCATCACAATACCACATCTCAAATTATACTACAGAGCTATAATAACAAAAAAAGCATGGTATTGGCACCAAAGCAGACATGAATACCAATGGAAAAGTAGACACAGAAACAATTCCACATAGTTACAGACATCTGATACTTAATAAAGTTGCCCAAAACATACACTGGAGAAAAGATAGCCTTTTTAAACAAACAGTTCTTAGAAAACTG